CATTACAAAATGATGAAAAGCCAAATACCTTCTAAAAACACCATCAAAGACCTCCAGCTTACTGAAAAGCCATCTCCAACACCACTGATTGCAAAAGTATTGGCATTAACCAATGAGTCACTGATTCTTTGTGATCAAACAGGAGCAATAAAGGCATTATGCTATAAGAAACTTCAAGATTCCATAAAGACTGATAGTTACATAATAATTGTCAACCATATGATCAAAACCATTGACGACAAGTTAACTGTGATCATATCACAAAGTACAAATGTCTTCTTAACAGCACCATTCACAATCCCACCCGATGTGATAGAAAAAGCAAAAACAAACATGGACATCACTCCATCAACACCAACAGTCATAACAGTTCAAGAAGCTAAAAGCTCTCCAAAGAAAAGGAAACTCTCCATTGAAAGAAAAGTCATAAAGGTATTACATGTTATATTTTATTAGATGACTGACTCATTCTCACCGCTTTTATTTGTGAGCTCACAACACACACATACACAAAATCACTTCCTAGATTCTATGCATTTCTACTATCTTCCAATAAGAAATCCATGTGCATATTAATTATATGACTATGACTACCCCAAAATGCTTGATAATCAATTCTTACATATCCCCTAATGGCCAATTTGAATTTCTATTCCTAGGTTAGTCCACTGAAGAAAGTCAAAAACAACCAGATTGACTTAAAGAACATAACAGTGAAAGATTCCACAGCGTCTATACAAGTTTCTCTTTGGAAAGAACAAGCTGGCCTTAAAATAGAAACAGGAAACTGTGTTAAGATATCATCACTGCAAACATCAACATTTAGATCAAATCCTGTGTTGTCCTCAACAAACACAACAAGTATTCTGGTATGTTATTTCCCAATTTCAATTCTAATTTTCAGGCAATCCATATCACAACTTTTATCATATACTATACCATGCCTACACCAGGACACTAAACCATAAAACTATAGTAAACTATGAAACCTATGCTAATTAAGATAAACTAGTTTATGCATTAATTGTCATTCAATTGGAGCAAGTACTTAAAACAAACCAGGTATTTAATCAGGTTTAAAAGCCTGAACCACAAGCAGACAAGGATTCTACATCTCATAAAATATATTTTAAAATCATATTAAAAATTCAAAACTACATATTGAATAATTCCTTCATCACACTGGAGTCATCGGTTCCATCATAAACTAAAGTTTTATGCAGAGGTTCAACAACTCACATAATATGGGAGTACTACACCCATTGAGAGCCCAAATCTGAAAGATAAGATTGTCCTCACTCATCCAAATTCTATATCCATTGAAAAATACAAATGAAGATATTTATATTATACCTTATATTTTACTTTCTGGCCCTTATTAACACACTACTGTTTCTGTTCTACTAGCCATCAGATAATGCTGACCTTCAACTCATATCTAGTGACGAAGAGAAAGAAGAWGATGATGAATCTGCAACTCTTGTCGCAATTCAACACATTCAGAAATACAAATCCTGTATAGATGAAAACTGCAGAAACAAGAAACTAAACAGTGAGCTAATGTGCCCAAGATGTTATTCAACATACTCAGAACAAACTGCTGGACAAGCACTCATTGCAAACCTAGGTGTCCTTAAAGGAGATACTTTCCAGACATACACTGTATTCACTCAGATCTTTAAGAAACTTTTCCCCACAATTGAGTATCAAACACTCCAAGATACATCAATCATGTCTGAAGTATTACAACAAATACCTTTTGCAATCAGTTATAAGAGTTCAAAAGATGTGATGTCTGATGCAAACCGTATTTAAGTTGTATACGAATTTCGATTCACTTTTCAACTTACAGCCATCTTCTACAGTCTCATGTATGTCCACTATATTAGAGATCTTTAGGTTCTACATTAAGCTTATTGTTGAGTTAGCAATATATATATCCTTCAAAAAGGTATACTATTTTTGATATATCACTATGTTGCAACATAAAACATGAGTGGTAAGAACAACATGATGATACCTGCAGAATGAAGAAATTGAGTTTTTACCTTCAGTTCAAGCTTTTCGTTTTATCAAAAATAATTTTAGACTTCTTTGCAAAGAGAATTAGGAAATAAGCTTAATATCCACTTCACAATTTTTTCTGTTTATCTTGATATTGAATGAAGTTATTTTCTACATCATGTTATTTAACCTT